AAAGAAACCAGCAAAATTCCCCTCCTAGCTTTTGTGCACTTTCTAAATTTTTATTTTAATCTAACACATTCCAAATAAAACCGATTAAAGGAAAGATGTGCCTAAGGACCAGTGGGGAAGAATGAAATTCACTGATCAATTTAATAGCTTTAAGATGTCTTGCAACATCCCTTGACTCTTCACTAGGAATGAAATGATCAAATATAGAAAAACTTTTGGTTTTCTACCCATTAATATGTGCACACATTTTTCTTCACATGCGTATGTGAAGCCATGGCTATGGTATGCCTGTGAACTTTTCTTATCAGTTTAGAGTCATGCAAACCAGAATTGCCTTCTTCCTCCTCTTATCCTTTTTCAAACCGAGCTGTTAGGAGAGGGTTTTTCAGGCTCGCTCAGCGTTGGCACTGCTCTGCTCCCATGGAAGGCATTAGTGGTTGTGCGTCATTGCCTACGGGAGCAGACCCCGCTGAGCGGTTCGGTCGCTGCTGAGCCTCTCCTCTACGGCTGAGTAAGATGAGGGCTTCAGCAGAGGGGTTGCAGGAGGAGGCTCTCAGGAGCCAGCTCTTGGTCTTGCCATGGACTCGGAGCGTGTGCACCAAGCACTGCAGCAGAGCCTGCCTTAGCACGGCAGCTACCCACGTGTGGCTGGGGAGAGTGCTGGGTGCAGCACCCCCCGCATTTCTGGGTGGGAAGTTCCTGATCTCTCCCTGAGCTGCTTCCTGGGGCTGTCAGACGCTGAGAGAGGTGAAATCCTGCTTGTCCACTTGGAGACCACTTGGAGACCACCTCTGAGCAATCCCAGTACACAAGCACAACAGCATCCAGCTTGTGTCCTGCCTTCTTACATGCCGTCTGTTTATCTAGAGCCATGCCTTCTCTATTTTAGAAATATGTTTGGGTTATTTCAAGCCATCTTTAATCTTTCTCTTTCTCAGCAGGTTTGAGACAATTTGAGAAAGAGCCGTAGAAGGCCACTAAAGACGCTGGACCAATCAGTTGGGGGAAAAAAAAAAAAAAGGAAAAAGTGCTAAATTGTTCTTTTTATATTTATGTTTATTTACCAAAATGTCTTTTTGCATTATCCCAGTTAAAACCATGTATATTAGCACTGTATTTAATAATCAGTCTAGACATTCATCATAATAGTACTGCCTTTGCACAAGAGCCTTTATTCCTAAAGAAACCCATGCTGTGAAATATATAGACTCTCCTACTGATAGTCATAACTAACTATGTATCTGAACAGTGATTTCAGCTGGCATAAGAGGTCAACCCAAAATGCATGTAAAGTGAAGTTGCTTAAGCAAAGGTGTGCAGTAAACCTATAAAAACAATGGTTACTCTGTGATACAGAAGTCTTTCTTTCTGCACTTTAGACTAAGGCATGGAAGAAATATCTTTAGTTGACAATGTAATATTTTCTGTAAGTTGCCCATGTCATGAGAAATACTGCATCAATAACGTGTTTTAATTTTTTTTGTTTTATACTTTTTTAAGTATCAATTTTTCCATTCTAGTTTAAGTTAATACCTAAATTTGGATGATTATGTTAGCTGACAGCGGTACTGATATTTCTTTTTGTTGTTAGTGACTAGTAACTGAATGCAATTTAGAATATATACACACATAGCTTTACAAAGTTTAGCCTAAAGGCACTACTAATGGTAGAATGCTTTAATACGTGCTAGAGTATTATATTTAGTAATAAACATACATAATTAGCCAATATCACAGCTTAAAAAAATAAAGACAAAATCACACACTTTTCTATAACAAGATATCATAATTGCCATTAGAGGTATGGTGAGATAAGTATTAAAAAATTTTAAATGTCAGTTGCCCAGTAACGGGTAATTAAAAAGAAAGTATAGTTTTTAAAAGAGGAAAAGGTAAGGGTATAGAGGGTCAAAAATAGGTCACTTGTATAAAACATTGTAGTTTAATTTATATAAAACTACCATAATTAAAAAGAAAAAAAAAAACCTAAACACAGTTGGAGCTTGTTTCAAATGACTGTACACTAAATCTTGCCATCCATCAGTGCCGTACACTAAGTCCACCTAAAATGAAGTAAACCTCTATCTTTATAGTGCTTCTTTTTAACTCTCTCTCCCGAATATCTTATTTACAGGTGTTTTCATTTGTATATAGTAAACACATGGCTATAAGACGTCAGCTTGGTTTGAATTTACATGCCATACAGTTTAGCATTTACATCCTACAGTGTATGGGTGGCATAAACTGGGCAACTGAAGTAGCCCCTGAGCACGTTGTTAACAGCTTTGTTGCGCATGGGAACTACCAGGATCTGCCTTTTCACCACTTCCATCTCTTATAGCATCTGACTTCTTCCTAAAGAAGAATAATGTTACATTTCAACCCTAAGATGAGCTCCTGTGCTTGGCTGAAACATCTTGTTTACGTATAGAGGTGCACGTAGTTATCTGTAGGGGGTGAAACTGTGCCTGACATTGTCTGTGAGTTGTCATGTTTTTTTGTTTGGGGGTTTTGTAAACACTCCTCTGAGTCTTTCAAATACATCTGATAGCTGCAATAAAAATGATTTGTTCAAACAATGTATTCTGAAACTGCATCCACAATAAATGGAATATTTCCATCAGCAGCCCCGTGTTTGTTAATGAGTAGGAACGAGACAGTTGTCGTAACTGGGATGGGAATCGGGCTAAGGCCGTGTAAAATAATGTATCATTACAAAGAACCTCGAAGGATGTCTCTCCTGATGTACTATCCTACACCACACAGCCAAGTCATTAAATCAGCGGCTTCAACCTACATATTCTTAAGGAAAAAAAAAAAAAAAGAAAATCTTAATTGTCGTGCCTATCAGTACAAAACAGGAGCTGTGCATCATCTAGAAGTCAGCGTGCTCAATGAAGCAGGTCCTGACCTAGCAGCACAGCCATCTGCTTTCCTGCTTTGAAAAATGTTTTCTGTGTGAGAGCTGTCATATTTCTTCTGTGTACCTCGGTGGGATGTGCTTCCAGGTTTGGATGACCGTGGGGACCAAGCCTGGGGAGCTGTTGGCTTTCCTGTTGTCCTCCTATCCCCTTCCTTTTTGCTCTAGCGGCAGCACAGCCTGTAACGCCCGTCTCTAACCAGGTCACGGTCACCTGAAAGAGGCCCCCCAGGCTGCTGCCAGCTCCACGGGAAGCACTGGGAAGGCTGCAGCAAGCAGAGTTTTCTGAGCTACTGGCGGAGAAATAATCGGATGCTGCCTAATTTAACCTGAAAAGAGCTTGTATGCTTGCAAGAATGACTTCTCCTGCCTTGTACTGACCAACTACGTTGCTACATTTCTCTGTGCTCTTTGCTGAAATGATGCTTTTCCTTGTTGATGTAGGTAAGTTTCTTTTGCTCCTAGTTATTGCCTTTTTTTGAGAGCATGGAAGTGTGCTGGGCACAATCAGTTTTACTTTTAGGAAATTGTAAAGTGGTGCGGTTATGGTTTGTTCCCACCAGCTGGCACCACCTCCTGGCAGAATCCACCAAAGACAAATCCCAGTGGCCGAGTCAGCAGCACTGCAAGTTTTTTTGGTGTTTTGATACCATTATGAGGTGATGTGTTTTGAGACAATACCAGATTGTCACTTTAGCTTCTCATCATGCTTTCCTGCAGCTCACTCGGCATCCTAGCTAGACTTTCTCTTGTTAGTGAGCAGAATGCCACAAAACAGCCTTTTTCAAGCCTGCCTTTGCTTTGGCCTAGCACTACCCATCTGAAAATACTTTAAAGCAATTCTGAGTCTACCTCAGGGTTTGCTTTGGTGTTTTTAAAGAAAACGTTTTCTATGTTTTCCTTGGATAAAGCCAACTCTTGTTCTGAATGCTGCCAGCAGAAGTGCAAAAATCCAATTTTGTGTTTGAGACTTCCAGAGCAAGTCAGTCTGATTTTGTAGGTAGCCCATAATGTTTGGCTGGGTGTATTTTGATGTGTGTTATCACTGCATATGATGCTATCTTCAACTTTTCACCTCTCATCACACAAGACTTCACTTTTGTTATTGTTGTCCGGAGGGACGGCTTTGTGGAGTAATAGGTACAACTTTGTTCTTTTGTGCTCTAGCTAGAGCACAATCCTGTTTGATGCATAAGCCACAAAGTAGTCTCTGTGTATTGTCCTTGTACAGGAATTAAACAGCTCATGTCTATCCGTATTAAAATTTAAAACCTCCCAGACTTCAGGCTTGTTTTATAACTAATTGTATGAAACAATTTAAGCACTACACTGATTAAGTTTTGTTGTTGTTCAAATTTTATTCATATAAAATGTTAAAGCATTAGAGCTTCACACTATAAAAATCACAACTATGTAAAAAGCAAAGTAATTAAAGACAGCATTACTTGACAGCAACTCATAAGCCAGTATGACTGACCACACTGGAAATAACATATAAAAAAATCTTGTAAGTAACCAAAGCTTTTTGTTAAACATGTCTTTAATTATGGAAGACAAGGAAAAAAGAAATGAAGAGACATTGTCTTTTTACTACTAATCAAACACAGATTTCTGTTAACCATCATAACAAAAGACCCATCCCTATTGATGCATTTTTATACTAGCTAGTGGTCTCCTCCTAAAAAAGGAGGACAAGTAACTGCTCTTAACGATTGTCAAGTACAGAAGAACTCAAGACTAAGCTACAGTGTACATCTTCTAATCTGGAGGGAGTTACACGGAGGTCTTGCAGGAACCACTGGCATTAATATTCTGCTTTGAATGGGTAGTCCTTGTGATTGACAGCTCTGAGAAAAGAAAGAACTAATTATTCAAGTATTGTAGAAAGTATCTTCAGCAGCATTTCTCTACTGCAGTCTCCCTCCCCCATTGCCACTGTACTCAAGTTTTGCTGCTGTCATTAATTTGAACACAGGCTTGTGGACAAGCACATGCAACACCAAGATGGTGCAGGGAATGCCCTGAATGGATCTCCCTCCTGACGTCAGTTCCAGGACATGTCTCATTACCTGGGGCCCATGTTTAAGATATGAGCTCTCCCTGGTTTTGGTCATGTATGTTTTCAAACTATGAGGGATGAAAATACAGATAGAGATAGGCCTAGTGGATAATAAGGATAATAAGGAACATACGGGAGTACTGGAACTGCCCTCCAGTTCCTGTTAAAGCTGAGGATGACATCCATCTCCTTTTTAGACAGTTCAAAGTCAAACACCTAGCAGGCAGGGAAAAAAAAGAAAAAAAGACCTTTTTACTTAGGTTCATGAGTAGTTAGCTACTAAGTGTCCTTCATGCATTTATGGCTTGAGGTAAGAACATACTGCATCCACACTAAGTGTAGTTAAGAAATCCTCTTGTTTCTCAGCCAAATACCAATTTACCCTTGAAGTAATCAAGATAGCCCTTTTCTCTCTGAGGTGCTGTTCATAGCATTGTCTTACAGTTATGGGTGGTTGGATGCAAACACCACTGCAGTTTGTGTTGTAATGCACAGACAGAAAACTTAAGGTGCTAAGGGTGGATTACTCAATGTGTCACAAATACTGGAAACTAGCAATAAATATTTCTGCTACAACAGAGGACTACTGGGTACCAGCTGCAAATAGTTGTCTCACAGTTAATCAATCATCTAAGAATTCTTGGTGGTGGTTCATAGGAAAAGTAAGTCCAAACTGTAGCAGCTTGAATTGAAAGTAACACACAGATATCATCTAAGATGCTAGGCCTTATGAGCAAACACCCAGCTGAACCTCCCTGCCAAGGGGAGCCACAGCCTCAAAGTGAGAAATAAACCATAACGGGTCTGCTGTTTACAATTTGTTCATTTGAACCCTAAAGAGGGGCTCATTAAGCATCTCCCAGAGGGCAAGTCCAAATCTGGGATTCCGCTTCCAGGGCGGCAGAGCTTGGACCACCCTGGTGTAGCCCATTTCTCTCCTGCCAGGAACAAAATCCTTTTCCCTAGAGAACAAGCGTGGATGGGTAGGTAGGGCTGAGCCCCAATCTTTATGTCTCTGTGCTCCCCTTCCAATGCCTCTTAGGGACTGCTTGGAAACATGGAGGAGATACGGGTGTGGGTGCCTATCCTGTGTAAAAAGGTGGTAGCAGTCCCAATAGAAACTTCACCTTGATGTTTTCCTCAACACGCTGTGGTTTGTCAGACTTGGGAATGACAATCAGATCTCTTTGGATAAGAAACCGGATCAGAACCTAGGGAAGAGCAAGGAGGAGCATGAACACAGGGGTACCAAGAAATCTGTTCAAATGCATTTTGTGTTCTCTCTTACCTTTTTTTTTCCATGCACAAACCAAGTTCTCTTTCTACAACCATGTTCACTCTTTGGAAGATTCTACTGGTTTTCATACCAGAGTTTGATGTGCTAGCATTTACTTGCAGTCTACCGACAAACTAGAATTGTTTCTGGCCTATGTTGTTTCTACATCCTGGCTTCTCCAGGATTTGTTGTTTTCATTTAGGGTAGGAGGTGGAGAGAAAAATGATGATGCTTCTCGCTTGCGCTATATGGGTGCTCAGACCAAATGAGCATAATGATACTGCAGATTATTTTGGGCTCATGGGTAAGTACCTCACCTAGGTTAAGCTTTTTGAAGTCCTTAAAAGGAAAAACATATTTATATATTTTAAAAGTTTTCCTCCCTCAAAAGAGGACTGTTGCATACAATTTTTTTGCCCTTCTCTGCCTGTCTTAAAATATGACTATGGTTATTGCCTGTGAACACGTGTATTTGTTTGAAGTGGTTTCTACGCACCCTGCACAAGAACTCATTTGTGTGACTAGCGACTAATATAGAAAAAATTTCACCTTGAATAATCAAGCAGCTTTCAATGATTCTTTGTGACCACAAGCAAACACAGAGCAATCAAACACATCTGCAAATTACAGGGCTTCTCTGAAGAAGTTGCCTAACTTATCTGGAGAAAGGAATAACAAGTTAGCTCAATGATTTGTAAGTAAACCTCAGAGAAAAGGGGTTCTCAGGGAGCAAGCACTTCTCTCTGGGAGCAGAAGAAATCTCCCTAGGAAGGGGGACACCTGAGGACCTGAGGTAAGCACGTATCACTGCTGATCAGCCCTCCCTCCCCAAAAGCTCAGCACTCGAGATCTCTTGGAAAATACCTGATAATTCCTATGAATGCTGATAAGAACTGAGGCAGTATGAAGAGTCAAGTGCAGTTTAACCCCATTATACTGTACCTTTAGGGAAGGCAGCACCTTCTAAGACTGGACATCAGCTTGTAAAAATGTCTGAGGAGGAGGAATAGTTCGCCCCGACAACCCCACTTACCTGGGCAGGGGTTTTATGATGTCTAACTGCAATCTCTTTAATCTTGGGATCATCCAGCAACACAGGTTCCCCTGGCTTGGCCCTATTAAAAACAAAAATCAGGATATTGATGGTAGAAAGGTACCAACTTTCCTGCAGGAAGCCTGACATCTTGTGTGAAATAATCTGCAACAAAGCAACAGCACTTTTCTCATTATACCTGCATTATTTACATCATTTGCCTCAAAGATTCAAGCTGCAAATGCATTGTTTTGTATATAGAAAGGCTGCAATGCTTTCTTACCATGGGCGGTTAGGAGAGCCAAGGGGGCTGTATGCAGTCACAGCAATCCCTTTGGATTTACAGTACTTGATCAATTTTTCCTGGGTTAGGTATGGATGACATTCAACCTGTAAGCACAGAAACACAGTGGCTGACACAGAGGCAGACTGCACTGAGCTCCGGCGCATAACTAACATTTTAATTCCTCTTGGGTCACAGAAAATGTGAAGCAAAGACTCCCAATATCATGATTAAAATCTATCTTATAAAAAAGTTATTCATGTCACAGCAATACCTAGAGGCCCTGCACAGAGAATAGGGCTTCCTCATGCTACGTATTACACAAAGGTAAGGAGAAATAGATGAGAAGAGTGAAAGGGCTATCTGTATCAGGAATTCAGGGGAAATTGGTCTTCCTGGACTACTGGAGAGCAGGACTGCATCTTCAGAGGGGCAGTTCAGGATATGTGAGGTTTAATTTCTGCTCCGAGTCACCCAACCTCTCCTCAAGGAGTCTCCCCGGCTCCTGAAGAAGCCTGGGGAGATGAGCTTCTCTAGGTTAGCTCGGATCATGTGACCAACCATTCGAGCAAGATGTCCTTTAACTGGAAACAACAGGAGCCTACGGGGGGACGCTGCTCAAATCGCCACAAGCCATAGCATGAACACAGGGCTATGTCTACGCTGCATGATGTGGCACCATGCACATGCCCAGCAGTTTCTAAATTCCATAGCTTTGCTACCAGGCATGGTGACATCCATGTACAATCCATGTACAGTAGTTTATTTAGACCCGAGCTAGACTAGGCAACTACTGTAATGACAGTGTGTGGCACAGCCACACCCACAGAGAAGCTAACTGGAGTCAAAGCCTGAAGTTCTTTCAAGTGTCCAAGTTGGTGCAGCGTTTAACATGGGGGTAGTTGGGTCCATCCCCACCAGAACTTTATAAACCTCAATAAAGTCTTTCCAAGTCCTATGTCCCCCTTGTGCTAAGCCTGGCCAGTGCACATGCTAGCCCCAAGCCTGGCACTGCAGTGCAGCAGCACAGGCAGCACTGTGCCTGCATCGTCCCAGGGTGGGGATTTCCCTGGATAGTCCCAAACCAGCAGAGATGGGCATTTAGCATCCCCCAGCCGAGTGCAAAAAAGTCGCATATGGAAGAAAGTCAGAAGGTCCTGATGCCCCTGCTGTCCTGTGATTTTATTCGTGAGGTACATGGTGAGAATTTGTTACATAATTGTAAACTTCAACCCTCCTTTTTATAATGAGAATGTTTTATTTTATGTTGAAAAATAAGTAAGTCCAGTGAATGAGTTAAAGCATTTCTGTACATTCCGATGCCTGTGCAGTAGCTTGCAGTGGGGATTTTGCTAGTCATCCCAGGGCTAGCAGCAATGGGCCTGTGGCAACTTCGGCTGTGACACTGGAAGTGTGAAAGAAGACGTGTAGCGGAAAGTCAAAAGGTCTTATACAAGGTAATGGATATTTTCACTTTTTTCCAATGTCTAAAAATGAAATATTCTCATCTGTTTCATATTACTGTGATATGAATAATTCATATTAGTTTGTATGGTATTTTTCTCAAATCTCCACTGCGTTATATACACACAAGTTTACAAGTAAGTTTTCTGTTGAGATCCCTGTCAGCTAAAAACCATCAACACTGACACCATACCAAAGCCTTGCATACTGCAGGCAGTACTGACTTGAAGGGACTTTCAGACAACCAGAAACGTCTAGTGCTTTGCAAGATCTTTCCATGGCACCAAAACTGTTTAAAGGTCATGGCAGAAGTGTAGCAAGAATATATTTAGGAATATTCCAAAGTTAGCTGACATCAATGGAAATAAAAATCTTACCTGGTTATTTACTGGCTTGTATTTCAGTCCTGGCTTGTTCAGGATTCTTTCAATCTGCTCATGGTTAAAGTTGGAGATACCAATGGCTTTTACCAGACCAGCATCCACCAGCTCTTCCATGGCCTAATGAGTAAGGACAACCAATGTGTTTTTATGAGGTGGTATTACTGTCACATTATTTTATTTCTCTAAAGCTAGTGACAAACCAACAAACAACCCACAGTAGATTAAATAATAGTATCTCAAATTAAAAAAAAAAAAAAATCTTTGCACCTTGTATTACCTGCATGCCTTATGTCCCGTTGCAGGTGGGAAAATAATATAAGAAGAATGGCTTGGCCAACCCTTTTGTAATGGGAAGCAAAATATTTTGCTTTGGCTTCTTTGGGGGTTATTTTACCAGAGCGGAAGAAGCAAGGGAGACCCCTCCACCTCCTCTATGCCAGCACACTGCCTCTGAGTTGGCAGAACACAGCAGGGAGGATGTTAGCTTAAACTCAGTTAGTTCAAAATATTTTCTTGGAATTGTAATCTGCTATTGTAGAGAAAACTATTAATTCCCAGAGTTGTAACATCACAGAGGTGCCAGCAGCAGGACTAGACCCTGAATCCTCTCAGTCCACACAGAAAGGAAGATTGAAGGACAGCCTGAGATGCTGATGCCCAACACTGAAAAGTGTGAGAATTCCCTGTCTGTATGAATAACCCAGTAAATTAATAGCCACACCTGGATTAATCTGTGCTTCAGTTCTACCATTGTGCACATTCAACTATTATTTTAGTGACAGCACCTACAGTGATGCTAGTTTCCTACTCTTTAGTCTTATTAAAGACATCCCCCTCTTGCTCCTTAAAATGAGGGGTAGCAGCAGCTCTGCTCGTTCTGGTCATGAAATGCAATTTGGGGTGTGTCATGGTTTAGCCCCAGCCAGCAACTAAGCACCACGCAGCCGCTCACTCACTCCCCCTGCCCCGGTGGGATGGGGGAGAGAATCGGAGGAGTAAGAGAAACACTCCTGGGTTGAGATAAGAACAGTTCAATAATTGAAATAAAGTAAAATAGTAATAATAATAGCAACAATATAATAATAATAATAGCAACAATATAATAATAATAATATACAAAGCAAGTGATGCACAATGCGGTTGCTCACTACCTGCTGACCGATACCCAGACAGCTCCCGAGCAGTGATCGCTGCTCCCCGGCCAACACCCCCAGTTTATATACTGAGCATGACATCACATGGTATGGAATAGCCCTATGGTCAGTTTGGATCAACTATTCTGGCTGTGCCCCCTCCCAGTTTCTTGTGTACCTGGCAGAACATGGGAAGCTGAAAAGTCCTTGACTAGCATAAGCAGTACTCAGCAACAACTAAAACATCAGAGTGTTATCAACATTCTTCTCCTACTAAATCCAAAACACAGCACTATGCCTGCTACTAGGAAGAAAATTAACTCTATCCCAGCTGAAACCAGGACAGTGTGACTATTCTCTGTACCCAAACCTATCCCTTAATTTCATCGTGCATGCAGATCCCTGCTCCATCTTTGGCGCTGACACCTGCTCAAAAGAGCAAACGTAAACTTACCTCCCATGTGTCCAGAAAATCGGTATCGCTGGGGATACTCATACCCTTATCATCCACAGGATGCAGTTCTTCACCAGCCTGTTATTTCAAGGCAGATAATCCATAGACTTTTAAAAAAGTTTTATTTCCTACTGTTTACTAGCATTTCTGACTGGAATTATAGGCAGCAAGTCAGCAGGTTATTTAAACATATCACATAACTAAAAATTATGCATGTTCATCAGTATTCTCTTTTGGATGAGGGCCATATTTCTACAAATCAATCCCTGCATACAAAGAGTAGGAATTAGTAGCAATTATGTGAATAACTTAGGCAGATCTAGAGAGAAGGGAACAAACACCCCACTACTTGTATTCTAGAGTTTTTATTTATTTTACACACGTGTATACTGGGGAAAAAAAAGCAGCATGTTCTTTCTGTGCTGTGCTTCATTTGTCACTGTTGGTTACTCCAGATCAAGCCAACATCTCCAAAACCCGAGATCTTCACACTGTCCTGACCCAGCAGAAGGCCATGATCCCAAACTTCAGCATTGTGTCTTGGTTACAGTTTCCCTGGAGACCCAGGGAGCTCATTAGCAGTGGTCATACCTATGACTATCTTGCTCCCACAGGTATGGAAAGCCAGACCCACGTGCTAAAACATACCACTACCTAGTTAGTGACTGAATACTTGCCACCAGCAGGTTCAGGGAAGAGCCAAATGAACCACAGCATATCCCAGCTGCATAATAAAGATGGTCACAGCACAGATGAGAGAATACACCATGTTTCTAGCCAGGTAAGGAGAAGAGGAATGTAGAGCAGGACTACCTTGAATCCCATAGGGAAGTGCATCAGGTAGAGGTCAACGTAGTCCAGTTGCAGTGCAGCGAGGCTCTTCTTGCATACTGCCTTGACCAGGGACCTCTCGTGAAATGTGTTCCACAACTGTGGGAAGAAACCAAGCCCAACTGTGACTCTACAGCTTCCACAGTCCAGATCAAGGGACAGCAGCTTCTCCCTTGGTGGTATGGGAGGACAACTCCCTCCCTGCCTACCCCGTGCACACTGAATGGATGCCAATCCAATGGATGCCAATATTTTAACAGTAAGATAGGATAAATATACCACAAATAAGGGAGTCAGTAGTGAAGATGGACAATCAGTATTCCTACTTATGAAAAGAGATTCTCAGAACTAAATGTAACACTCTGCCAGGTGTACCTGACACAGCAAAGCTGTTAGTGTTAGAATTTTTTTTTTGGAGCCTAAATTTTGAGTCTTCAGCTGCTCATAGCTATCCCCTTCTGTCCCTTTTAACTGGCCACAGTGAGAACTGTTGTCAATTTTACTTCATTTTTGAAACAAAAAGTCAAGGCATTTAAATAAATGAACTTGCAAGTATTATTCAAGTTAAAACCCATTCTTTAACAAAAATGAAGAGCATGTGGAAAAGTTTAGTTATGGTCAATGTTTTATGGTTTTGCTGGTGAAAACCCCAAGTTTTTTAGTTGAAGAGTTCTCACATTTTGGTAAAGGGCATGGCTGAGACAAGTAGATGAAATGAAGAAAAGGAGTAAATAGATGGAAAATACTTCAGACTGAAGTCACATACTTTAATTTCTATTCCCTTTCAGGCTTACATTTTGTACATGACACCAGTTTCAAGTGTCTTGCAAACCTGTAAGTAGCACAGCATCTCTGAATTCAGACATCTGTCTTGTCTTTTTTTCACTGATCTTTCTAGGGTATGTACAAATGAATCTTCAGTATAATTAAGTGACTTAATAGATGCAAGCCACAGCTGCACTATCTTTACAAAGCTGTCAATGGTTCCTTAGGTAAAGCTCAGTCCAAACTGCAAATAAAAGATGGAAATTATAGCACACAACAAGACGGCCATGAAATTAATGTCGTAGAAGGGAATAACTCTTTAAGTTACTTTACAGATGGAACAAGGGTTTCTCTTTGAGAAAAGCTAAATGCCCTAATAATCCTGCATCCTTGTACCTTAGTGACAATGAAGAGGTCTTCCCGTTTCACAGCCCCCTCCTTGATCTTCTGCTGGACTGCATTCCCTATTTCATTTTCATTCTTGTAGAAATAGGCACAGTCGAAGAGGCGGTAGCCTGCATCAATAGCAAACTTCACCACCTCTTCCACCTTTCCTGGAGCAGCCTGAAAGCAAACACAACCAAACCAGGAGCTCCTCCATGGCCTTCTTCCAGCGCTCACTGCTGCAATAGCTCCTCAAAGTCTCCCTTTCCAGCTGCTGCTGGAGTTTCCTTGTCACCTACATTTAAACAGAGTTTCACCTTCCCAG